TTTTCCTACCACTTACAGTCTATGTTAACAAAAGTAACACAAAGTTTTGAAGTTTAAGTTTCTAATTCTTGTGAGAAACTCATTTCATTACGTGAAAGTTTCTCGAAAGTTTCTCTGTTAAGTATTACGAGAATCACATTTTTTACTCAACTGCCCTTACGAAAATGAACCATGGTTTTACTATAAATAAAACCAAAAAACTATAGTTACTATAGTTAAATCATGGTAACATCTCCGGTTACTGACGTAACCTTGGTTCCCTGAGAAGGGAACGAGACATTGCGGACAGCATAAAAGAAAGAGACACTTTTCTCTTCAAATCCTGAAGACTTATTCGCTCGCAATCGCCAATGGCGATCGAATGCGCGAAATGGGGGCGGAAAAATGCCCCATATATAAGCGGCGCTAAGCAGCATTTCATCAGATTTGCTGAGTTCCAATTCACCTACTTATACTATACCCTAAAAGTATGTACTCTTTTTGTGAAGAAAAAGTACATACTTTTGAGTATGTAGCAGAATAGTAGGCAAACTTTGGGACATACTACTTCATCACAACTTGTGCTGTGTCCCAATTCGCATACTATCCGTCCTAAATAGTATTCGAAAATAGAATTAGTATGTCCCAAATCATAGTATGTTTAAAAAAGTATGGCAAAGATTCTCGGATGGTCTACTACTTCCGGTTAGAATTCGAAGTGCAGATCGATGCACACTCTAACCATAGACATAATAAATACCTAGACTTCTCATTGGCAGCTCGACCGCACGTCAACGTCGCCGCCATATTGGTGCGGGCAACTGTCATATCGGGACAGAAGAAAACATACCTGACTCGTCGGCAGCTTGGGCATCTACAAACCGTCACACAATAATAAAAACAGATCTCGGGGTATTATCTTCCACAGGTAAGACTGAACAGTTGTTTCTGTATGTTTTTTGGTCATTTTTAGCTTTATGTTAACAGCTTAATTAGCCACCAGTGTCAGACTATTAATAGCTAGCGATAACGCTAGTAAGCTGTGAAATCCATGTAGATCACAAACCTCTGAAATCGGTTGATAAATGTAAACGTTATCGTGTTTTTATCCAGAAAAAAAACGCAGCTCCTCCGTTTACCTCCATTTATTTTTAAGGCAGTCTTGCCCTCACAAACATGGCAGACGCGTTGACGTATCGCAGCAACGGCTCAAAGCGGCCAACGAGGCCTCTAGGTATTTATATGTCTATGACTCGAACGGCTAATATTGCCCACAACACATTGCGGGGTGGACGAGGATTCAATTACAACTACCAACACGCAATAAAGGTGTTTTTAAAAAACTACAAACATGGCGGATATACGCGACCAATGGACAGGTAGATAAACGGATTTGAGTGATAAATAATCAATGTCTAACCTGATGAAAAAATATAAATTTAATGTTATCCATTGATAGACCCAGGACTAGCAGATCAACGTACCTCTTAATTTCTCTTCAGTATGGTAGGAAATCAAATTAAACGAAATGTGGATGATGTTAACTGTGATAAGATGATTGACAGGGCAGTTTAAACAGTAACAGAATCAAGCGGCAACCTCCCGCTCTCTCTCGTGAAGCCAACACGGAAGTGACTTAATTCGTCAACTGGCCGCTAGAGGCTGGCTGCAAAAGGGAGTCAATCCCATAGACTCCCTATATTAAAATGCCCAACTTTACAGCAGAAAAAAACGTTTACAGCCTGGTTCAAAAAAAGATTTTGGTCTGTATAGCTAATTTTTTCCCTTCATGACAACTGTGAGGGGGGTGAATTTTTTTTATAACTCATTCGTTTAAATTATATTAAGCCTTAAAGTTCTGCATAATTAAGGGCGTGGCCACTTGAGTGACAGGTGGATTGCCGCTGCTGTCACCGGCGTCGAGCTAGGTGGGCGTGGTTTCAGCAACCAGCTCCCGCCTCTTGCCCATTTTCGATTATCCGGGAGTGACTCGCTGCCAAGATGGCGACGGCCCACTTTGAGCTTCAAAAACGCTCTTTAGAAACCTACGGGTGAGGTCACGGACACTACGTCCATGTTTTTATACAGTCTATGGACAGAATGCACGTAACTAAGCAACAGAGCGTCCCTTAAAGAAGCAGCTATAGTATGTCTCAAAGTTTGCCTACTATTCTTCTACATACTCAAAAGTATGTACTTTTGGTCTTTAACAGATGCTCTGTTGCTTAGTTATGTGGTTACGTGCATCCTGTCAGTATTTAAACTGCCCTGTCAATCATCTTGTCAAAGTTAACATCATCCATATTTTGTTTAATTTAATTTCCTACCATATTGGAGAGAAATGAAGAGGCACGTTGATCTGCCAGTCGTGGGTCTATCATGCCGAGAACTCAGCTCATGTGTTTAATGATTCTGAATGAAACTTGAATAGAATTGAATTAAACTTGAATTGAATCTGTTTAATGATGCATTTAAAAGTTAATGACCAAACAGCGGGTCTATCATGCCAAGAACTCTGCTCATATGTTTGCACAATGATGCATTTAAAGTTAATAACCAAACGTATCTTTATAAAAGTTCACAGTGTTGCTGCAGATTAAATCTAACGCGGATAACATTAAATAAATATTTTTTCAACAGGTTAGATATTGATTATTTATTACTCAAACCCCTTTCTCTACCTGTCCATCGGTCTCACATATCTGCCATGTTTGTAGTTTTTTAACACTTTTTATGCGTGTTTGTAGTTCTAGTAACACGGCATGTCTCGTTTCCTTCTCAGGGAACCGAGGTTACATCAGTAACCAGAGACGTTCCCTTTCGAGATAATAATAATAATAATAATAATAATTCATTACATTTATATAGCACTTTTCTAGGCACTCAAAGCGCCTTACATTGTCAGGGGGGATCTCCTCATCCACCACCAGTGTGCAGCATCCACCTGGATGATGCGATGGCAGCCATAGTGCGCCAGAACGCCCACCACACACCAGCTTATTGGTGGAGAGGAGACAGAGTGATGAAGCCAATCAGCAGATGGTCTCAAGACGTTGCAGACAGCATAATCTAACGCTTTGTGCATAGGCGGAGCGTGTGTGGCTGGGGAAGGCTTAGACTTCCCCTGGCCAAGGGGAGTCGGGGACTTGGGGCAAAAATGCCCCTGCACAGACAAATTAAATCTATTACGTCTGTTGCTAACAAAGTGAATATGAATAGACAGTGTCCATTGCGGCATTAAATTAAGATCTGCTCATGTTGCACCGTATTTCATTTTAGGCGTTTTTACAGTGTTGCGCATTTTAACCAATCACACACAATTCTGTTGAGCTTAGGAATGCAATGGCCAATCAGAGGCGTTCAGATGAGTCATCGCTGAAACTCATCAGTTTTGTTGAGTGTGCGTGCGTTCCGGACTCTTGCGAATTCTCTCATCATAAACAACAAAGCGCAGATGTACGTACAATGTGTGTAAGAGATTCATTTCACAGTGTATACAGCTTCAGTGATTTATAACCATAGTTTTGTTTTTTTGAGAGTGCTTAAACTCGCGATAGATTAAAGTTAGTGATAATGTCACTTTCTATATATAATTTATTCTCCACATTCGGCTGCTTTTAGCCTTACCCTGGAGTTGGCTCACCCTCCGCCTATGGCTTTGGGGAACGTGTCATGCTGTGTTACTGCGAAGGGCGCTCGGCATGAGCGGAGACGACATATAAGCGCAGCAACGCTCAGCAGCAAATGCAATGCATGGTACAGCCACTGTACACAAATACTAATAAGCAGCACATTCTAGACAGGAGCTGGGAGAGGGGGTGACGCTTACATTTTTTTTAGCATTGCAATGCAGGCAGTTAGGGCCCTCAGTGGCGGATTCTTCATGGGCGTGGCCAGGCAGAAGACTCAATGCTTGAGTCTGCCGGGGATCCCGATGGGTCCCACTCAGGTCAGGTAAAACCTAAACCTAAATGATATCTATTTAATTTTCGTAAGGGTGTGGCAGGAAAAGCATGGTACAAGTCCTTGTAGAGACTGAAAGAGTGCCATCTTCTCCTGTTCTGTTATTTTTTGTAGTTTTAAATAAATGATCTGTTCTTGGATATTTATTTGCCGCCGTCATGGCTGATGCTTCTCCGACAAGCTGCTTCTTCTTCGGCTTTTGCCTTGATACTCACCACCAGCAACATGCCCATGGACACTGTAGACTAGCAGTCTGCATGTGTAATTGCACGTAGACGCAGAAGTCTAAATGAAAACCGCCGCATAGCCTACTGCGCAGAGGCTACAGAGTGCAGAAATCTATGAAGGTAGAATGACGTCAAAAAGATTTGCATACGCAGGGTAATATTTGTGGAAGTGTACATAAGACTGTAAGCGTAAATTAAATTTGCATGCGCAAGATAAACTTTGTAAAGGTGTAAATCGCGTTTCAAGCGCTGCAAATCTTTTTGACGTCATTCTACCTTCATAGAAATCAACCTACAGTATTTGAGTGGAAAGATGTTTCCCCAAAGCGTCTGTCGCAACGTCGAGAGACCATCTAGAAAGGGAACCACTGATTAACCATGGTTTTGCTACACTAACCATGTTTAACCTTGGTATTTGTAGTAAAACTCTGGTTATATAAATGGTAATCAATACTCAAAAAAAAAAAAAACAGTACACTTTCACTATGATAAATCCATGGTTAATTTTCGTAAGGGTGTGGCGGAAAAAGCTTCCATACAAACGTGCTTTTTTTTTAACATGAAGGTGCTAAGAAATCGCTGTACTTGTTAACAATTTACATAAATTTAAGTAGCCTCACAATTCACGTTTAAAGTATGACTCAGTTTATGCTGTAAAACAAAACGTAAATGTCTCTTCAAGTAATGTTAACCACATCCTGGCTATACAAACTGAGCAGCTCTAAAAAAAATAGTATCACAGGTCACAATAGCTGGGTCTCACTTTTTCACACATAGGCCTACCTAACTACGACCCTTAGTGGCTCTACCCAGAATGACACCACTGCCATGACAGCGTAGGGCGAGAGTAGGGCAGGCGGAATAAACTCAGCTCAACTGTCATACATCTTTCTCCTCTGTGCCGTGTCTGGAAAGTGCAGTGCTGGTTGGATTGTGGGCGGTTTCAAGGACGAGAGCCGGTTTACAGTACGGAAAAGTGGGCAATTTCATCAGCAATGGCGCAAAAAAGACATTTTCTACAGGTAATGTTTTCCTCGTTGCAAACCACGTTTTGTCTGCGTATTTCGTTTCGTTTTGATGCACAATGAGAGTGGGCGCATGTTAGCAAGCTAGCACAAGGGAAGGGGGGCTGCTCAATGAGTACACCGATGCAGCGAACCGGCAAAACCAAATGACTTTAAATCTAGATGTATGGTCAAATGTATGATATTTTTGGTTTGACCGCTTACAGTCAAGTGCCAACCATTGTCTGTCTTAAATTAATTTCACATAAAAACCCAAATAACTGTTTATCGCCGTCGCTTTATTTAAAAAAACACCGTTTACTGTTGCAGTGTTTGCAGATGCAGTGCTTTCAGGGTGAAATGTCCTGACTGAGTTGACAAAGACTTAGTTAAAAGCACTCAGTTAAACTAGCATGCAGCTACAGTAACGCGACGACATCAGTGGAGGCGCGTGCTTTAATCTCAAACGGCGCTCAGTGTTGCCAGATTGGAAATGTCCAAGTATCGTACCAGAAGCTCAAAATTATCGTATTTGGAAGAAAATTATCGTACACGAGTGAAAACGTACAGAATACAGCTATTTATCTACTAGACTAGAACAACAACTTTTTGACACAACCTTCAAAAATCGTATTAATCAAAAGCACGTCTAATTAAATAATGAAACGTATACTATTCAACATCAAATTAGGGCCGCACGATTAATCGAATGCGATTGTCATGCGCATTTTGATAGTAATGTCGGTTCTGTAATCAGCAGGAAAATAAAAGTAGTTTTTATAAATTAACACATTAATTTAATTTATCTTTTAATTAATGAAAATTAAACAAATTTAATTTTTTGGCAAACAAAGGGGAATTAAAATTAAAACATGGAAGAAATATTGTGACTATTCCTTAATAATTTTAGTAGTAGTTGTACGTACATTCTACTGAACAATAGTAATACATTTCTGGCAGAAAATCTATATTTTTGACTCAGAGCAGTTCTGGGGATGTTGTTCATGTATTTATGTCTTATTTAGTGAGAAGGCAGATGCTGAAATCACCGCGAGCATTATGCGCGCTTCAGTATGTGTGTAGTAAACAAAACCGCGTGACATTCATTCAGACCATAGACTATGATTCAGACAGACACAGAACATGCAGGATTTATATTTAAATAGCCTTTTTGCGGCTTAATATTTACAGATACTAGTCCATATCACGATTTAAGTTGAGACAAATTCCGTGACATTCCACGTTATACAGTAAATTCCGTTGATTGGATTCCGCAATTCCATCCGTGTTTTCCGCTTCGCGGAAACCACAGGGCCATAGGCGTACCTTGTGGGAAGGTCCAAACTCTACCTCTGAGTCGCTGTCATCAGAATCCTGCGTGTTGCCAGATGTTGAGGGTCCTGAGGTGTGCACCAACCCATTTAGAGCGTCTGTAATAAGCCGATTTCATGGCTTTGTTTTGATGAGGTTGACTTTGGAAAAAACACTTTCTGAAATTTCGAAATTATCGTACATTATGGGATTTTTTTCGTTATTGATCGTACAGAGGTCAAAATTATCATACACATACGATAATTATCGTACATCTGGCAACACAGACGGCGCTCAAGATCAACCTTTAGGAAGTCAGACAGAAAATTATGTGAGCCGTTTTATCTATTTATTAGGGGTTAAAGTCTATTGTAATTGTAAGGATTATTATTATTATCATTAGGGGTTCAAGCACGCAGTGCTGAAACCCTATTGTAATTGTAAGGATTTTTATTAGGGGTTCAACTCATTAAATGCACTAAAACAGTACTGTTCAAAGGTTTGATGGATTCATGCTTAAATATTATAAAATCACTGTTAAAACATTTAAAATCACATTGAGTCAAAGTTTACCATTTTGTTCATACAGACATATCAGTTTTTACAATTATGCCAGATTATGATTACAGTGAAACCTGAAAATGACATGTAAACTCTTAAAAAGAGAAGACTTGCAATAAGTTTTGTCACCTATCATTTATTTCAAATATCTATATCTGCAACAAAATGTGTGTGCATGTATGCCTGTGTATGTGTGTGTGTCTCTGTGTCTGTGTGTTTAAGTATGCTTATTGAGGATTAATAAACTAGTTTAATCATTTCATTTCAGTGTGTGTGTGTGTGTGTGTGTCTGTGAGCATATTCTACATTTTGGATGTGTTTTACTGTCAGCCATATATCCAGGTTGGCCTAGACCCTAAAATAGACCACCTTAAATGCCTTTATGTGCTTGAACCCCGGTCATTGCTGCTTGCAGCTATATTTATTCTTATTATTATTATTCTGCCGTAAAACTGATCGTGCAGACCAAACCGTATACATCCTAGACCTGTTTCAGACTGTCAGGCCAAATCCGATTGAAATCCGATCATTTAGATAGTCTGAACGGCAATGAACTATATGAAATCCGATTTTTGCAACTCCGTTTTGAGTTTTGAAATCCTATTAAAATCGCATTCCTGGAAATCCGTTTCAGTCTGACCGCTCAGATTTTGCGTAGCTTTTTCACGTTCTCATGCCACATGAAAAGTAAACACATCAGAAAAGATGCTGTAGCTGCATGCTGAGTGCTTTTTAACCGAGTCTTTGTCAACTCAACCACGTTGAGCTCGAGCAAACTGCCAAGAACAGTCTGAACGCTTGAGCCGCATGCACAGTCAGCACAATATTACATTTGAATATACTGTCCTTGCAGAAACAAGTGGTGCATCCGAAATCGCGTACTAGTGAGTAAATATTACATTTGAACCGTTAAAAAGTATGTTCTATATAGTATGAATATGGGTAGTATGAATGAAATTCGGATGTACTACATACGCCATGTTGTTACTGTCACATGACCTACCAGCGTCAGTTTCGTAGCTTCACTGCCATTCATAAATTCTCTCCTGTGGCTTCATGGAATAGTATCCATAAAGTGTCCATCAAATGCGCACTTCAGAATCCAGGCAGAAGTAGTAGGTCATCTAGGTACTGTTCGCCTACTGTTCTTTTAATTCTATGAATTCGGACATACTACTTGCTAGGGCTGGGCATTTACTACACAGAGCCGTAGATCACTGACAAGCTACACAAAATCGCGTTCAAAATCGCAGGCGATTCATTGCCAATTTTGAGCGCGATTTTGTGTAGCTTGTCAGTGAACTACGGCTCTGTGTTGTAAATGCCGCTCCATCTGAAAGCACGTGCTGGAGATTTACTACTAATCACCAGAAGCGGCTTTACTGACGAGATGCGCATGAAAATCGCATTCGATTTTTTGCACAGCCCTACTACTTGCCTCACATACTGTTTTTCACATACTATAGTAGGGAAGTATGCGATTTCGGACACAGTGAAGGTTGTGTTGTTGTGAATAGCAAGTAAAGCGGAAAATGACAATATACTGCTAGTCTACCCACCTCTTAGAGTTTTGAGACCGGCGGAGACGGCAGCATGGAATAAAGCCGCACATGCAGCTTCCTACCTTGACGTAATATTATTATCCCTTATTATAATCCATCGCGACGGCAACATGTCGTCATGTTGTAAGACAACATCTGTATTGCAAACTGTATTGCTCTTATTGTTGTTTTTAGCGTAGGCATACCAACAGAACGTCATTGCCATAGAAACCAATGCAGATATTTAGTAAAACGAAAGAGCGCCATGGACACACAAATCAGAATTGAGCAGTTGCGATACACAGTGTGGATAGTCAGTCATTTAGATTGGATTCCAATTTGATATGAACAAAAATCGAATTTGGACTGACAGTCTGAACAAGGCTCTAGAGACTTGAAACTTGGCCAGATGGTAGAGCTCCATTTGGGAAGACACTGGCAAAGACTCACCCTAATCGGCCAATAGGGGATGATCAAAAATACAAAATCGCTTATAACTCCTAGTTTGTCATAGACTCAAGTGCCTTATATCATTGGAATCCTTGACTCAAGACAAACAAGATTTTATTTTATATATAGTTATATATATATTATAGTTATATAATTTTTATATATTTGATAGTTATTATTTTCTTCTGCCATTTTGAATTTTTCACAAAACCTACTTTTCCTAGGTTTTTCACCCAATTGGAACCAAACCAGTGCAGAAAAGTTCTCTGAAATTTGATTAGCAAAAGTTATTAAAATCAAGTTGTCGGTCCATTGTCGGTCAGAACAGGACTCAAAAACATTAAAAGTGGGTGGGGCCACTTTTACTAAAATGGCTATAACTCTTGAATGGAATGAGCTGTATTTACCAAACATATGAATGAGCTCAGTCTTTGGTCAAATTACAAAAATTGTGGAGTTTGACCACTATAACAGGAAAAAAAAAAAACATGAAAATGGCTGTAACTATGCACACGTTAGTCTGATTGACTTGAAATTTTGCAGGCAGTGTCACTGTCCAAGGTGCATGAAGGGAATTGTCCATGAGGCAATTGGTGTATCTTGAGAAACATGGCCATTATTGTATTCGCCATCAGCAAATGAATATTAAGCACATATTAGACGAGCTTAACGGATGCTGATCAGAATGAAACGCGATGGGCCTGTTTGACTCTTTGCCTTAGAGGTCTGTGAGAAATTTGAAAGAAATCGGCCACTAGGTGGTGCTATCGTGTTTTACGCCTCGTATATCACACAATGTTACACCCACACAGACACACACACACAATATTCATATCATATGTTAGATCTCCTCATTCCGAACAACTGCATCTAGAACCACTGCTGTCAATCAAACCATTCGTTAAATATTTGGCATCATGTAAAAAAGCTACTTTTTCGTCCTTAGACTTAGGACTTAATAGACTTAACCATTCTTGAATAACGCACAAATGAATTTGACAAAGAGCTTGCCAAAGTGCACACATGGCTATATCTCCTCAATGCTTTATGGTGTTCAGACCAAACTTGGAGTTTATGACATCCATGTCCTGAGGTTACCTGTACAGTTTTGGCACAGTGCCACCTAGGGGTCAGGAGATATGAAAAATGCCAAAA